TTCAAGTGTTTATAGAAAAGGTTTGCCAAGCTAATTTGTATATCCACGCATTCTAGAATGACTGATTTGTCTCATTCACTTTTTGAAGTACACATAACTCTCGGATTTAAGTCCGAGGTTTCCACATTTATTTATCATAAACCACAATTTGCTATTCTTGATGAATGTACAAGTGCAGTTTCAGTTGATATTGACCCTAGTGAAACATCTTGTCGAGCAAGATCTGTTATTTGTACCCAGGATCTGATATCTTCCACCTAAGTTCTTGGCCAAGATACAAGGTACAGAAATGTGAGTAGATCTTGAAATTTTGGGCAACATCTTGACTTAATAATATTTTTAAAAACTTTTTTATCAGCTCTAGGAGTTGAATTTTGTGGGGGCTGTTCATGGTATCATGAAGATGCCGATAATTTTCACCGTGTATTCCAGTGAAGATCTTGGTACAAGATAATTTGAATATCTTGTACCTAAATTCTCAAGATCTACTCACTTTTCTGTACCTTGTATGTTGGCCAAGATCTTGCGCGACAAGATGTTGCACTAGGGGAAGGATTTATGTATGAATATTGTCGAACAGTAAGGTTTTCTTTTATGAATAAGAAAATTTTTTAAAATTATCTTTTAGGCTAGTATTACTTTATTTACAGTTTCACATCGAAAAAGTTTATGGAAATATCATGAAGTAAAGAGAATTCTTTAAATTTGAAAATATGAATTTTTATTTTTTTTTTTTAGTATTGTTAATATATGGATGGTCGTGGAAATTATACATTTAAACAGATCGATGAACATACTTCTGAATTTGGATCTTAATATATTTTTAGTGTTTTGTTTTAACTCTGATTGTGTCTAGAAAAACAAAAGTCACTGTAATAAAATCTCAAACGTTTTTTCATATCGTGAGAAGATAAATTTTTATGAAGCTTAAAAATACTATGTTCATCCCACTATTCGAAGAGTTGGTCATACAGTAAGGCTACTACCTGAGGTTTTTATGAATCAATTTTCTCGGTTCTCTATCAGTCTGAGAGAAAGTCCTTTACATATTTCGACGCAGAATTGAACGGACTATTGTTTTATACAATCATTTTTTTTTAATTCAGTAAAGATAAAAACATTTAGCCAGAATACAGGTAAAATTACGATTTAGGATCATGTCAAAAACATCGTATTTTGAATTTTCCAATTCACATTGAGCTTTGAAAGAGAAACCATATGTACATTTTTGCAGAGCAAAACCAACTCGAATGGAAACAACCATTCATTGAATTATAATTAAATCAAGAAGATCTCTATTGAAAGATAAGATTTGCATATATGTGTACATAGTATTCTATAATACACATATCGATTGTCTACTATTATTATAGATAAAAGTCTTGCTACCAACGCATATGAATTTTATTTTATTTGAAAAACAAAATGATGAATTACAGAAAAAGTCTTGTTACATTAACCATGAAAGCAACGAGAATAACATGATAATTATTTATAAACATATTGCTACATCATATTAGAAATAATAATTAGAGCCAAAGACGAAATCTTGATATTTCAATATCGAATCGACTATTTGGAAAACGTCTTTGAACCATTAAACGATAGGATTCAACTTTTTCATATCGAATTCTACCATAAATATTCAAATAGACAAGTTGTTTTAATCGTTTTACTAATTGACAGAGATCTTCTTCAAAAATAATTACGTGTTGATCTAAACGAGAAATGTTTATCTTCCCTGATGAGGCTATTTAATTAACGTACTAATCGATTCATGTGTTAATAAAGTTCTGTACCAGTGTATAATCAAACTTCCATACCATGATCGTTTAAAATCCGGTCGAACTTAAAATAAAAAACAAAAAGAAGACAATTAGTATGAAACAGAAGTTTTTCAATTGAATATAAAGCATGGGATAAAAGTTCGCTTCATTTTTCCTATCGATGTATATTTGCAACTGTTTGAACATTTTCAATCAGTAAATAGTCATTTTAAAGAGCATTTAAAAGTGTAATTACTGTGTAAAAATAAAGGTTCTAGCTCAAGAACTAAGAGAGTTAGTTACAAAAGTTTGTCACATGTGTTTTTGGTTCTCAAAAAATAATGGGTGGAGCAGATTACACGATCGTATTTGGCATTTCAATTTTTCATCACTCAATATGTTGTATTAAAAAGCAAAATTCTGTGCGACCGATTTTCGACGCTATGAAAATATCGTTGTTTTTCAACACATATAATTCATTTCATTTTTTTCATTACCTAATGCAGTTATTAAAAGAATAAAATACACCACAAGATGAAGCGTGAAAAGCTCTACAATTGATAAAGAAAAATTTGTTAAAATTGCTCGCGTAACTGCAAAAATATATTGATATGTCGCGAACTTTTGTCCCATATATTATTGTTCTTTTATTAACAAGAAATGGTTCTTATTCATGTTTTTTCTTAAATCAAACAATTCTATTTGATAAATAGTCTTAAATAAAACAACATTCATTTAATATGTCTTTTTTTTATAGGTTTTTAACTAAGACTTTAATTATTACCTAATGAATTCAAGCAAGTTCAAGAGAAAAACACAAAAGTTTCTTATTACTAATTCAGAAAATTCTTCTTTTCAATGAAAAGATAATGAATATAAATTTAAGAGGGGGGGGGGGGGGGGGGGGGGGGGGCGGGCATTTCTATAAAAACAAAAGCGTGACGAGAAAGAATTTTCTATCTATTCCTTCCAAAGTATTTAGTCTCATGTATTGACTTCCACAAAGGTGAAAGGATACATGCTTCTTTCTTACTTATCTTTCATCAATCATCATGTTTATATTCATAATCGAATAAAATACAACAATATCACAAAAAAAAAACATTATCATGAAAAAAAGAATATCAAAACCAAAAAGCAATATCACGAAAAGAAGAGTATCATGAAAAAAGAACATCATGAGAAAAAAAAAACAATATCGCGAAAAAACCAATAAAGATACGACTATCAACAATCAATTTTTTTATGTCACTCTTCAAATAGTTTGATTCGTCGATTTCCCTTGGCGAATTCAGTGACGATATCTTGTGAATCAGTTGTCAATGTAGTACTTTTGTGAATGTGTAGAAAAGTCAGAGTACTAAGTCGTTCATCAGCCATAGGGTTCCTGAGATAAGTTTTCACGAGCTTCAAAATAGAAAAAGATCGCTCAGGAGTGGCGATAGAGACTGGCAGAGTAGCAAAGATAGTGAGAAGACGATAAATATTTGGATAAAAGACACGTTGTGTATACGTTGATTTGAGAACTTGACCAATAGTACATGGAAGATCATGATCATTACGTTTTCGCCACATGTTTCGCCATATCTCGAACTCACTTTCGAGCACAACAAAGTTGTCCGACAGCAGATCTTTTGTAAAATTCGAATGTATCCTTCAAATCGGCGAATTCGATTTCCTTGACATGAAGAGCCATTAATTTGGAGATTTTTACGGCAAGCTTCTGATGTGTAGAAAATCGTGGACCCAATTCATCGACTGTGCTCGAAATAAAAGCTTGATGAATTGATTCGAAGAATGCACGTGGTATTATTTTCTTTCGACGCGAAAGTACAAATGGAATATCATGTTGAGCAGCAAATTGAATTAAATCGTCGTGTAATTTATCCATATTATCATCATTCAAGAGTTCAGTTAAATACAATGCCAATTCTTGGATCTTGTCGTAGCATTGTACGAGATCACATGTTGGTGATTGTAGACTTTCAGTATATGGTTTCGTAAGCGCGAGGACACGAGAAACAACGATAAGTGACGTAATAAACTCAATGTTCGATGAGATTGATTCGTGATATGCACCAGAAAGAGCTGATGTTTCACTATCACCATGAATAGATAAGTACTCGAGAACAATTAGAATAGAACCAAACAGTTGTCTAAATATAATAATAGCCGATTGTTTATCGATCCAACTATATTTTAAAGAAAATCAGATCGAATTTTAGATACAGACCAATTTTCTAGATACTCACCGTGTCTCACACATTCTGATGAGTGTATGGTGGTGTTGATGATTCTGTTTGCCAACTGTTGCTTCTACTGCTGCTTTAAACATAGTCTTCCGTTTCGGAGAATCATTGACGAACTTGGTTATCATTTTGATGGTCCCAAACAAAGATTTTACATTCGAATGATCACATGAATTTCTTAGCACAAGATCTAAGCAGTGATTAGAACAATGAATATAGATTGCTCTTGGTGATTGGTCGGCAATCAATTTCTGCACCCCACCTAATCGATCAGCCATTACGTTGGCGCCGTCATATCCTTGGCCTAAGAAAAAAAAACATCACTGAAACTCCTAAATAATCATTATATTATTTCCTTTTTCCAGAACACCTCAAAATGTGAGATTGACCAATTGTGTGCAGAATTTCATTGTTGAGTGAGAAAAATTTTTCGGCTAGAATATTACCTCTAATTAGATCAATGCTAAGACCAATATTCTTCAAGAAATCACATATTGTGCTAGCCACTCCAACAGTAGGAATGTTCTCATCGTACTGAACTACTAATTTTCTCATCAAGCTCTAAAATACAAAGCTTTTCGAGCAAACAAACTTATGGAACCATGGTACTGTTTTCGAAACAAGTACGAATAAATTTTCCAAATTGTGCATTTTGAGATGTGTTTGAGCATGAGCCGTCATCTACATTCGCAACCCAATTAAATGACGGCGAATCACGTTTCGTGCATCCACGAATGATGTCTACCTCGATCAATGCTTCAACTGCTCTATTAATTGTTTCACGAACATATGCCAACTAGAATTCTTCCAATTCAAATATTTTATCTGATTGTATGAACAATGAAAGTAAATTTTTAATAATTCGTCGAATAACAACCGAGTTTCTCTTAATCGTCAACTACCACGTTGCAAGATCTGATCCTATTTTAATCATGTCTCCATCTTTCATATTAATTATCTTTCATTTTATTTTATTCTGATACGCTTGAATTGCTTCTTCAGAGATATCCGAACTCGAACTGTATTTTCCCGACAGATTAAATATGCTCAACATTGATGTCACAGCTGCAGATGTGAATCCTTGTTTGGTTGTTGCGTTTGCAGCAAAGTCTGATAATGAAATGAAGCCTTCCTCGATAAGTGAACCACCCAACTGTAAGCGACTCGTATAATACGTACCATAGTTTTTCACAAAGAATTAAGTTAAAAGGGTAGCCAGCTTTGGTTGGCCATTGCTCTTATACTGAGAAATTTGAATAAAATCTTTCTTTGCCTGCGGATTTAATGGGCATGAGTTGACAAGAATAGCTTCAACTAAAACGTGACTGATTTCGTTGCGAAGCGTGATGATCTTCTTTCGTCCTTCCTGCTTCTTAACCGTTTCATATTCTTTCGAAAGTGCATCACCGACTTTGAATGCAAAAAAAGTCAACACTATCATCAATTATATAGTTTGATGAGTAGTCTCTGGTGCGTGAATCAAATATATCGAAACTATTAGAACTTAAGTCAATTTTATCTTCACGTGTGGGAATAATTTCAATACACGATTGAACTCACTGAAATGATTAAAATTCGGTACATCATAAATGGGGCTTATTTTAGTGAACCGTAAATGATTCCAACCATAACCCGGATAGATATCAACGTTCAACGATTTACACCATTGGCTTTGGATTGATACCGAAGAAAGAGTATTAGGAAGCAGAGAACCCGTTGCATGATTTACAGATAGCACACTCGAACCTAGAGAAAATATTTGCTGCGAAGCATTTAAAAAGAGTGAGAATAAGACTGGATGTTCTCCCACTTTACTTCAAATGATAAGTTTATGATAATAAACAAAAAACAAGCACATTAATTCGAACGACGTAGGTCAAGAGCAGTCTCGCCCTGATGTCTAATTATCTCTGAAGTAAACGACACTATGAGAGAAAATAGCGACAATCAGTGTTATTTGAGAGCAGTCTCAATTGAAAATAAATAATTCATTCCCTTCTTTCAGTAGAAGACGTTATTGCACAGGGTATTTGCCGGCGTTGTGCATCTGAAGTTCAGTTTTGTGTATGGGTGTGAGTAGAACTGTACAACCCACGCTCATGAGCAGTCGTGAGCGTGAGCGAGAGCTGTACATCC